ACCTAAGAAAAGAATTCATTTTCAATATTATTGATTCTCAGATTTGAATAATTGGCGTTTAATGATTTTAGGACTTTTTGTAATTTCATCATTGTCATTATTTATGCTCGGTGCACATTTTTGTCCAGCCCAGAAGGAAGGGCCTGTTTTCGATGAGGTTCAGCCTACATATTGTAAATTAGATGCATAAGTACAGTACATTTCATTCATTCGCTGTAAATGTATGGGAGTGCCTTAGGAATTTAACGGCAGACCACATAGATTTATTACAATAACAAAATAATTAATTATTATTAGCAAGAGCCCATTAATCTAATTACAAAGTAGTAGTTGTTATGATTCTAAAACACTAGGAGCATAATTTTTGTTAAGAACTATAATAACTAAGATAAATAATTAAGAATAAATATTTATTGCTCTAGAGCGACTTGAATTTGGGAACGAGTATTTTTTTTCCGTTGGAACCTGGGTGCCATATTGTCATTTGGATTTTATTCTATCTTGTAACAGCCTCATTAAAACAATTATTGTTGACGAATACAGATGGCGTAGCGATATTATAATTTTCTGCAGCTATCGTACAGTACCAGACATAAATGTTGTTTAATTTTTTAAAGGTTATACATGTGATTTCCCTATAGCGTCTTACAGAAAATCACACAGCATTTATGTCCGGTACTGTATTAAAAACAGACTCTAAAAAGGTGGAAATAAAGTAACTCAGACTAAAATATTGTGTGAAAAAGTATCAACAAGCAAAAAAAATGTCGAAGAAACGAAAATTAATAGACATTAAAGATATCTGTCGATTTTGTCTGAGTGATGATAATGCAATGGTTGACATAACGGCGCCGTATATTCAGAAAAAAGTTGAAGCATTTTCGGCCTCGACTTCGATAATTGTAAGTAAAATTCATGAAAAAAAAATGTGACGAATAATCCTTTAAATAAAAACTCTAATTTCTCGTGAATTTATCTGATAACTCAATATTTATGTTTAATTTTAGATTGAAGATACAGATTATTTACCAAAAAAAATTTGCCACGTTTGTGTTTACAAGTTGGAATCATGGTACGACTTTAAACAGCAACTCAAACGATCATACTCAATATTATTGAATTATTTAAAAACCGGTGAGTTTACTAGAGACATTACAAAAATAAATCCAAACGTTACAAATGTTTCATCAACAATAGATAAAAATTCAGTAGATGGTGTTATAAAAAATGATCCAACAAAAATGAATAAACTTTTATTAGAATTAAATGTTAAGAAGGAAAAAGAAGATGATTCACTATCCTATGTAGATGATCAATTAAATACCTCATTACCACTGCTAGAAAAATCTTTAGAATCTCTAGAACTTCTTACACCCAAAGTAGAGAGTACATCAGAAGGTAAAACACCAATGTCACCAGTTAGAAATCGTTTGTCAAGTGTTCGACGAACGAGTGAACAACGATTAGCATCTACACAACGATGGGTGGCGAGAAAACGTGCTTTACTAGCAGCTACTGGACAAAATGAATCAGACACAGACTCTATGGGATCAGATACAACTCAATTATCACCTATGAAAAAAGCTAGAGTGAAATGTAATGAACGAGAACTGGAAAGAAAAAGAAATGAGCAGGATATGATGAATGAATGTAATCAAGATGAACTTTTTAAACCTCAAACAATACAATCAGAAGTTAGAATTGGTGATACAACTTTTGTAGTTACTTCAACTTTGTATTTGAGTGAACCCCAGTTTCTTAGTCAATCATTTAATAATCTTAAAGGTCAAAATAATGATGATGTTGATCAAAATATGGACATCATTGATGCACTGCAATTGAGAAGAGTGAACGACAACAAACAAGTGATCGACAAAATGTTGGAGAAATGTCTTAACATTGAAGTAGAAGGCACAGAGTTGGAGGCATTGCAAAAAGTGCAGGTAGAATTGGCATCATTTGTTGAAACTGAAATAAAAAATAAATTGACTGATGATAAAAAAGATCAATCTGAAGTGTCAATAGAACCACCAAAGCCTCAGGACTCTTTTCAGACTCTAGAACAACAGCTGAAGATCATTGTTGAGAAGACTATCAAAAAAAATCTAGAGAATTATAGAACTAGACGACAGGCAATGAATAAATTAAACCGTACAAGTTATCCAGTTCCATCAACATTCGTTAAGGCTGCTGTTAAGTCGCCCATTTTCCAACCCAAAGTTGTCGTGGATCGATTAGACCCTAAAATACTTCAAGACTTTGTTAAAAGTAAGCCTGAAAATGATCCGATGGATGTTAAGGAAAACTTAGAGAACTGTCAGGATTTGGTTGTGCCTGAGAAACATGTCTGTACCTCATGTGGATTAGTATTTGGATCGAAAGCTGAATTAACTGAACACCGTCTTGCTCATATTGGTGTTAAAAGACGACTAATGCGTTGTAAAAGATGTCATACTATTGTCGAGCATGAACTTGTTAAATTCCATGTTTGTAAAATAAAAAGTCGTCAATATCCAGTGAAAAATCAACCGTCCAACACAGAAGTTAATTCAGTAAATCATCAAGTTCATCAGAATGAAGAGGTGAAGAAGATGTCTACTGTTGATACCAATGTTATCAAAGAAGTAAATTGTTTTATTTGTGAAAAGGCTTTTAGTAATGCTGAAAAGCTCAAAGATCATCTACAAAGTCATTGTGATGATAATGATGAAAGCAGCAGCAATATAAAGGAAATTTTTCAATGTGCTATTTGCGGGATGACAGTAGATACTGGAGAGAAACTTGAAAGTCATGTCGAACAGCATTTATTCAATGATGCTGATGATAATCCTGATCTCATTGACGTGGTAGTTGATATGAAGAAACCTGAATTACATTCTTGTGTCCAATGTAATCAAAAGTTTCATTCAGAAATAAATTTAGCATTACATATGCAAGCACATGAGGAAGAAACTGCCATTGCCGAGTGGGAAGATGAATATAAAATGCAAGGAATTTATGGATGTACTATTTGTTATGATACTTTTGAAAATGAACAACAACTTGCTGATCATTTTGACGTACACAATTGTAGCTCACATATTTGTGTATTATGTGATAAACCATTTTTGACTTTAGCTGAACTTCAAGAACATGTAAACACTCATTAAAACATTTCTTGCCGATGTTTGGCAAATAATAGTTAGTTTATGACTTTATGATATTTTATACCCGTATGGAAATAAATTTCTGGAAAAAACTCTAAAAAAAGTCTGGATAATATCTGGAAAAACTCTGAATAGTTTCTGGGAAAAGTCTGTGATTTGGAACATTACCAGAGTTTCGGTGGTATTGCCAAAGACTCTGGTGAATTTCTGGAAAAACTCGGGAATTTTTAACTAATGTTGATTGTTGCTTCTCAGAGATTCCTGGAGATTTACCAGAAAAACAACAATCAGCGTTGGTCTAAAAACTCAGAGTTTTTCCAGAAATTTATTTCCATTATAATCTTTATATAATATTGATAATTTACTGTTTATGAATTTAAGCTGTTATCTTCGTTATTTAAGTACTAATAGTGTTTTTATCTGATATAATGAAGAAAAAAAAACATCTAAAGGATGGTTGTAAATAATCTTTTACTTTAAATTGGAGTTTATTATGACAAGTTTTATTTTTCATGATTATTTTAGGATTTTGAAACTTTAAAATCAGGAATATTTAAATTAAAAAAAAAATATATCGGATGGAATGAAAAAAAAATAATAAATTAAAGTGCACAGTTCATAGAATGTATGTTTAATATATACAATAAAAATTGGAAAAAAATTTTAAAGTGATACGTAATAAATGAATTTAATAAATAAAAAGCTTTTTTATTAATATTCTTTTGTTGTTGCCTTCTTATTATAAAATGAACTTTCAAACCATAAAAATTTTCAGATAATTAAGAAGTTTCTGCTATTAATAGTTTTAATGAATGATAATTTGTAACTTCCCAGTGGGAAGTTATAGTAATGGGTCCGATTTTGCGAATCCCGAATTTTGACATATCTTCACGTTTTAAGGTCCCCAGAGTCGAATGCGATCGTTTTCCAGTGGACGTCTGTGTGTGTGTATGGACGTATGTGCGTTCAGAATTATTTTTCGCCTCGATTATCTCGAGAACAAAAAATGATATCGATGTGGGACCAATTGCATTCGAAAATGACCTGAATTTCTCAATTTATAAATTATACCATTTTTTAGACAAAATTTCGAAATCTTTAAAAAAAAAATGAATATTAAGTGATTAGAATACTTGTATGAAAATATAGTGACAATATTTCATCGAAAAAACAAAATTTAAAAAACAAAATCAGCAATAAAAGAATTTTAAACTCGTGTCAGGATTGAGAAAACAACATTAAAGACGCTAGAATAGTCAATAATAATTGTCAATAATATGGAATTGTGTCCATAACAATTGAACATTGTTACTAACAAGTGATTATTGATCATAGTAATATTTAAATAATAAGTTTTAAATTGTTATAAACAATAAAAATAGGGATTCATTCTATATATATATGAGTACTTTTAACGCATAATTTTTTCTTTTACTAAAAAAATGTTACCAACCGTATGACATAAATGAAAACATACTTTTTTCGTGTATAACAATGAAATTTGTTGTAAATAATGAAAAAAAGGATCTATGAGGTATATTCGAATTCTTCTAACGCACAATTTTTTCTTTTACTGAAATAAAGTAACTAACCATATCAAATGAATAAAAACAGACTCATTTCACTTATAACAATTCCATTTGTTATAAAGAATGGAAACGGGTTCTATTCCAATTGTTTTTTCATTTTTTCCACTGGGAAGTTGGTCGTGTGGACCTTTCGGGTCGCACCCAGACCACTGCAGAGCACTGATATTTTAGATAATAATTTGAATAATTGGATCTAAGGAAAAAATTTAAGCATTTATTCAATCGATTATGAAAACAAATTTCAATTGAACTGTCAATAGTATGGCATATCAAATTTATCTATGTCCAAAGCTTTACTTACAGGAAAAATGGGTTTAAAAAAATGTCATTGAATTTAAATTTGTGTCATTTTGATCTTCATGTATCAATTTAATTACCCATGTCACGAAAACAGGATTCTTCGACTTGGTTGAAAATTGCAAGAAATAAACTTGGAGTTGTTAAGAAGTATTATTATTATTAGTTACAACAAAAAATATTCCATTTTATAGCAAAGAGTTGAACAAAAAAAAACTACCCTCAAACATCGTATTTTAAGATTATAATAAAGACTACAGAATATACAGAAAAAAGTGTTGGATAAAATTTAAAGAGCGTTTAATTTTGTACATTAAAAGTCTCAAGACTTAACACCCTATTTTTCCAAAGTTTAGTTAAAAAATTTAATTTTAATTCGACTTTCATATTTTTTTGTACACGGGGAGAATTTTTTCACTAAATGTAAGTGTCGAAAATGACAAGCCCACGTTTAGAAATTTAGAAGTAAAATATTTCTGTTCAACAGTGAATTTTGGGTTGTCGTAAGTAATTCCTTTACAAAGACACCTTTAAAGTCACAAGTTTACTTACATGAACTCAAAATTTATTATTGAATAGAAATATTCTTACTTATAAATTTCGAAACGTGGACTTGTCACTTTTTGCACTGAGATTTAGTTAAAAAATTCTCTCCGTGTACTTTCTTTAATTTATGAGATGATTACAAAAAACCAGATACAAGATTGTTTATTGAAAATTTCACCTTTTGCTTCTCTGTCCTTTTGGGTTATTATTTTTATTATTACTAATTATCCTTAAACAATCCAAGAATGTTTCTTTCAATTTCAACCATGCTAAAAAATTCTCAATACCATCACAATAGCAGAACTACTTTAATAATAATCAAAAATAGATTATTGTGAAATAATAAACTAATTAATTGAATCGACAGTAATAAAACTCTTCACTAGTTTATTTACAACAAAGAAATAAAGAAAAAAATAGACTTTATATTCAATATTTTGAAATTGTTGCCATTTTCGTTTCATTGTCGTACAATTTTCAATACTTCCAACTATTACTTAATACAGTATATATAATATATATAATATTTTTATATATATATATATAACATAATACATAATAATTAATACAATCAATTAACTTCATAAATTGCTACTATTTAAATGCTATTATTTACAATGACACAATTCTATTTATTTTCATATCATTCTCTACATTCTCACTTTTTTGTCCACTCTTTGACACTTGTTCATTCACTTATTTTCAAAATTTATTATTGGAAATCCTTTCTCTCTCTTTCGCTCTTACTTTATCAACATTTTCTCTTGTTAAATTTTTTTTTTTAATTTTATTTACTTTTGAAATAATTAAACAAAATAAATAATTAAAGTTACTTGACCTTTATCTTAAAACTTTAACATTATACATAGCCAACAGAAAATAAAAATAAATGTTTTCATTATAATTAAATCATAGTACGTTTTGAAAATATTTTAGTTTTTATTTTCATTACTTTTTAGACTTATTAATGATGTTTTTTTCTTAAAATAATAAATTGTATTATTTCGAAAGTAAAATAATATATATATATATGTTTTAACTTCAATTGATATTAATTTTTATTAATTATTTAATAAAAATTAAAGTAAATATTCAATCAAGAAGAGATATTTTTACAATATTGAAAAAAATATTGTTTTTAATTTTTAGCATACTTTAAGTATCTCAACATTTCTTAAATTTGTTACTCTTAATAATAATAATAATAATAATAATATATCAATATATTTAATATTATTATTCTTGTTATAGTTATTTTTTATAGTGATTTGGTTTCTGTACTATTCATAAATGCCGTTTCATACCATTCTTTTTCATTTACTTTATAATAATCATCATTACTATTTGTTTATATGATCAATGTTATTATAGTTCATTATTGTTATAATTATTTCTATTATTTTGCGTTTTATTCATCTTGTTTCTTTTTTTTTTTTTTACTGCGATATTACGTCTACATAATTAGCAGGATAGAGACCAACACGACCATCTTTCCTTCCTTTACACCAACCCTGTTCATCTTCGTCTTCCAATTTTTCAAAAATGTCACCTGAAAATTGTTCATAAATATTCTTTTAATAATAATAAGAATAATAATATAAGCTTAGAGGTAAATTAAAAAAAGTTTAAGGTTAGTTTTCACTTTTTCTCAGGGTTGAAAAATTCTTTTTTATAATACAAATAATTTCTTAAATTTATTAATAATACAATAATTTATTATAAATAGAATCTAAAAGATTTCATGAGAAGATAATGTTTTATTTCTCTCTAGCTGGACTGGACTTTTATTAAAAATTCCCTAAACCTTCTGATTTTTACTATGAATTTAAAAGAATTTTGTTGAAATTCTTATGACAACTTTATAGACATAATTATTAAATTTTAAAAGCAATATTACCTTGTTTAAATGTCAATTCATCAGCTTCAGCTCCCTCATAGTCATATAAAGCTCGCACTGGTACTCCAGGTTCTCCAGTGTCTACAAGAGCCTCACCACCATCCTCATCCCAGTCTTCTTCATCAAATGGATTAGTATCTTGTTTAGAATTATTTGTTCCATTCCTACAATCAATTATATTTATTTCAATAATATAATTCATTCAAATGCACATAATTTTTTCCAACAAAAATCACTAATAATTTATAATTCTTTTCGCAATACCTTAATAACAAATTTAGTTAAAAAATGAAAAAAAAAAATATCAGTTCAATTTAATAATGATTATATAATATGTTTTATAGTACTAGTGCAGAAAGTAGTCTGTAAATTTATTATGCCAGCATATTTTAATACACTAGTGCAGAAAATACCCTATAAGTTTATTATGCCAGCATATTTTAATCCACTAGTGCAAAAAATACCTTATAAGTTTATTATGCCAGCATGTTTTAACACACTAGTGCAGATAGTAATTGATAGTTTCATCATTTTATTATATTTTGCATAATAGATTATTTTCTACTTGAACCACCATTGCAGGTCTTACAAGCTCATAATTATAAAATGATCCACCTCTCATCACACATTTACCATTAAAAATTACCCAATTCTTTTTATTTCTTGATAATATCAGTAGCGATAAATTTTTCTTCGTCATACCTGCATGGAAAGTTCACTTTTCCATTGGAGAGGGGTTGAACTTTTCATGCACGTATGACGAAAAATCATATTCAGCCCTAGGGAGGACAATTAGACTAGCTTAAATCACGTGTTTCCAACGTGAGCTAGAATACTTTCCCTCCCTAGGTGTGAAATGTATTGATTTCTACCCTATTGTATTTGCATTTTTCATTGGAAAATACTTATATTATTATTAATTACTTAAGGCTAGGCTTTACTAACCTCAAATCACCTCAAATTTTTCTCATCAAACTGTGCATTTTTTATTAGTTTTTCTCATGTGAAAAATATTTAGGAATATTTAGAAAAGTGGCATACACATTGGAAAAGAAAGATGTTTCGTACTAGTGTAATAATAAACGTGGAATGAATGATTTTTTAGTGAAGGGCTAATGACAAGTGCATCCGCCATAACACCTCGAAATTCACTGAAAAGTTTTTTTTATTTTACCATTATTATTACACTTATACTATCAATCTTCGTTTTCCAATGTGTATACCACTTTTCTACATATTCCTGAATATTTTTTACGTGAAAAAACCAAATAAAAAATGCACAGTTTAACGAGAAAAATTTGAAGTGATTTGAGGTTAGTAAAGCCCAGCCTTGAATCAATAAATAAATAGTAAATGAATCTTACGTTATCGTAGAGTTCCTATTAACAGTATGACTATCGTGATTTTTCTCTGAACTGGGCTGTGATTCTAGAGTATCAGTTTTTCCATTACCATGATTGCTGTCTGTGGAAATCACTCGAGGTGTAGATTTCGCTCTGGATTTATTATTTACCGGTGGGAAATCCTGTCAAAACGAATTATCACATTTTAATATACTTATTGAACCACACATTCTTAACTATTTTAAATATTAGATAATTAGTAAAAAAATATATATATATATAAATGTATTAAAAATTCTCAACATGCTTTTTCTAAAGCTAATTGTCTAGGTTTATTTTTGTAATAAAAATAATATAAATAAAAGACTTTACATGCAAATCTTCACCAACAGGTCGTTGATTGATGAGTGTGATAGATCCAGCCGGCAATGCTTCCTTTGATTTAGTTCCCTTGGTTATATCACGAAACTCTTCGGTATAATCCTGTGTAATAAGCAACAACAACACAATCACATGCATGCATTCCATATATTTTTCTAATAAAAAATACTAAACTAGTTCCAAGGGATTTGAACTATTTCATTAATTTATCAGGGTTTTCTTGCAACAATGAATAATAAATACTTAATAATATTAATTATACAGTAGAGTTTCAATAGTTTCCATCAAAGTAATTCACTAAAAAAGAGATTTATTGAATGTAAAAATGCATCTAAAGTCATAAGCAAACAAATGTTGGTGAAGAAAAATTAAAAAATAGGGGACCATCTTGGTTTTTTTTATACAAATAAAAATGGCTGAAACTCTACTGTATTTGTCAATAAAAAAAAATTATCATCATCATCACTTGTTAGAAAATCACCTCAAACTGTGGCCAATTCATCGCCATATTCACTCCATGATTATTTGACCACCATTTTAAGTCTTTTTCATAATCTGCATTGTTAATTGTGTGATAAAATTCTTCATAAATTTGTGGAAGACTACAAAATAAAATTTATTTATATTTAAAAAAAAACGGTGTTTTTATTGTATAAAAAAACAAAAAAAAATGAGATTATTTTAAAATACTTACACTGGATCCTGTGAAATATTTAAGCATTTGTGGATACCAAATAAAACATCCTTGAAAAATTGAAGCCTTTGTGCCTCCATTTCTTGACATTTCTCATAAACTTGCGTCATATCCTCCATATATTTAGGATTATACTGATTAATCTCTTGTAATGCTGCTTCGTATTTTTCCTTGGCTTTTTGTACCTCTTCTTTAGTCTTTTGCACACGATCTTGCATTTTTTTCACCTAATAATTATCATAAGATTAAAATATGATGGCTTGAGTTATTTTAAAAGCGACAATGAATAACATAAAATAATAATAATTAATACGTAGAAAAATGGGTATAGAACCCACGATAATGCATAATTAATTAAGATTAGCAGCATAAAAAGGTTAGAAGTTGAAGTTAAAATACAACTTTTATAAAATGTTACCATAACCTGTTTTTACTTGAGTGGGATTTTTTTTTGACAGTTGTAACTCAAATTGAAAAAAAGGCGATTTGTTGAAGTATTTAGATTTTAATTGCAAACAAATAATAGATTTGGGGGAAATAGGAATTTTTGAGTAGCTAAAGGCCTTCTCATAAATAGGTAAAATAAAAATAAGGCTCTAGAGACAGAGTGAAAAATTAGGAATGCACATGCGCAGAACCAAGTGGCTTTTATTATCATGCTTGTGCGCATGCGCACTCGCAATTTTTAGCTAAATATCTATTTTTATCCTTATCTTATTTATAAATAAGATATACAATTATAATTGTATATAAGAGCTTTGGAAGATTAAATTTTAACAGAATATTGAAAGCAGTAGATTTAAATTTTAAAAAAGTAGAAATCTTTCGAACAAAGTACTGACTTTTAGTAACTAAAGGCTTGAAATTTGAAGAATCATATATTATTAAAAATTTGGAAGTTCGAACTTCCGAAAAAATAGGAATTTCGTATAAAAATTTCAATTTTCTATAGATAGGGATTTTTTGATCTCTGAAGTTTCAGATTTAGAAAAGAAATTTGTTGATGTATGAAATTTTGTATTTGAAAAAAGACATTATAAACCTTCATACGATTAGGCAGATAAAGCTAAGAATAAGAATACGCATGCGTATTCTTATCCTTAGCTTTAAAGTCGAAACACTTAAAGAGTAAAATTGGAGGTTATACAGACATTATTTCGACGCATGCGCGCAAATTATTTATGTGCTGGTTTACAACTTAAAATAATTAATTTCTCGTATTAAATAATTATCTATATAATAACTTCTGATTAATAATTGCTTAAAATAACTTGAAATAATATATAATAAATATAAAAAACATAACTTGAAATAAATAATTTCCCATATAACCTCAAATTTTACTCTTTCAGTGTCTTGGTTATATCTTCCCAATTGTAGGAAGGCCTTATACACTACGCGACATAAATGGTGTCTTAATTTGGTATAGAAGGGTATAGGGAATCGTATGTATAACCTTAAAAAAAAACTAACAAAATCGAACACCATTTATGTCGCGTAGTGTAGTTTAGTAATGTTTAACATTAAGAAAAAGAGATGTTTTAAGGCAGTAACGATTAAATTTTAGAAAATAATAGTATTTTTGTTTTTAATAAGTAGTTACAATTAAAAAAAAAAAACAAAGATATTCTGACAGATTGATGGTTTAAATTTAAAAAAAAGAAGTAGGAAATATTTGTTAAGTAAAGATTGGCAATCCTAGGGATTTTTAGGTAACACTAAAAATAAATTGACAGGTTTGAAAATATCTAGAATTAAAATGCTCTAGGTAGTTTTGCTTACCAATTGAGCTTTCTTCATTGTAGTAATAATGATTATGAAAGAAATGTAATAAAAAAAAAAAAAAAGAAACAGGAAAAAGACATATTAATAACATGCGTCATGCTTATTATTAATACATACAAGCGTAACGTCGGATATCTTATTTTTCTTAAGATTTTTAAAGAATCTTCGGATCCATGCAGAGCATCCAAATATTGTCATCTAGAACGCGTTAATTTGTGTTTGTTTTTGTTCTACTTATCTTACCAAGTTTACAACCAATTAAATTGGAATGAAATTGACTTTTATATATAATTATTCAACAAATAAACTAATTTAGAAGACTATTTCAAAATTATCCTTTAAACATGCTTTCCTAATTTACAACAAAATTTAAATAATTACAATAGATTTTAATTTATTTATAAAAGCTAAATTTAGTTTTAAGTTTTTAATAATTTTTCAACATTAAATCGTGCATATAATTAGTTAAATTTGTTTAATAAGTAAACGTACGTTATCAGAACCTCGAGCTGCTTGCTGTAAATAAATTTTGCTGAATTTATCTTCATACAATCAAAAGTTAGTTCGAAATGATTTTTTTTTTTTCTTTTTACGATGATGAATATCTCTTGTCTATTTATAAAAGTATTATAAAAGAAAGACCATTACCAAGACTATTTTATTCAGATCAAAAAGCACAAACACTAGAGATAAAAGATTAAAAAAAAAAAACAATCAATACCTGATCAGGCGAAAGTGAACTATCTGCTGATGCATTGCGTTCTTGATTAGCAGCCGTTCGTTCTGTTTTACAGCTATTATGATAGTCTGTTTTAGCTTTTTCCACTTTTTGTAATAATTTTGACCACGGTTTTTGTGCTTTTTTGAATGCATCCTCCATTTCTTTTCGCTCTTTCAAGGTCATCATAGACTAAAATAATAAATTTATTAAAATTGATTTAACATTTTTACTTCATTTCACATTTATAACATAATTTATTTATTAAACAGTGACATAATTTTAATTTATGGAATATTGAATTAGAATTTATTCATTAATTTTAATGCGCATGCGCAGAATACAGTAAAATAAATAATTTTGTTCTTCCCATGTAGATACATGGTACCAATATAGAAAAGTAAAATTCTCATAATCACGATGGAAGAAATTTATGTCTTTTTTTTTTTAAAAATGTAATCTAATCAATAATAATACAGGATAACCTCTCTATAGCAATATTTGTTAGCTAAAAATAACTCTAGATTTTAATGTTTTTCCATCATTTTTGTTTTTATGATTACGAATTACACATCAAAAGTGCCCTCTAGCTCCTTCAAGGTGAATTATGTTTCTCACTAGATTGCATGTCCTTTTAAAATATGAAATATTTCATGTTTGAATCTTGCAATAGAGAGGTTCATTTTATTGCTGGATTTTTTTAAGTATTCATAAGGAAAATTAAATTCCAACACTTATTTCAATAGGGCATGTGTTTGACAAATAAATAGTACTTGCTCTAAGATATTTTAAGGACGACAATGAGACGAGGTTAAACCACGTGGTTTGAGCTAATCTACTTTTTCTCCCTAGATGTGAAATGTACTATTTGTCACATTGTCACAAAAATTTTGATTTTATTCTCAGTTTAGAGGTTAGTAAAGTGAGACGTTCTGCCTTGTAGAGACAACATGCGTGGGAGCATGCGCACAAACAAATTTTGTCATTCTATGTAAGGAAGAAACGTCGGACTTTACTACCTCTGAACAGGGAGTAAAATCGAACTTTTCATGGGGGTATAACAAAAAAAGTATTTTGACCATTAAAAATGTTTTACTGTTCTGTTTTTTATATTATGTTTCATTTTATATATTTTTTTAATGTTATTACTTTAACTTTTTGGCGAATTAAAAATTATTTTTTCAAACTACTAAATTCATATTATTATATATATTAACATCGACATAACGTCACTAAGGTGTCTAAGTATACATAAGTTATGTATGTTAAAAACTGATATTTGTACGATTTCGTTTGTTAAAAATTACTGAAAGCTAACATTTAAATGTATTTCACTAAATAAAATAACTTAGCAGAAATTATAATATATTATTAAATATCTGACATCAAAAGAATATTTGGACTTTGTATTTCATTTATTTGTCTAAATAATCTTATTATCTTTGTCAAATACTTCTAAATTGTTGAAGATTTTAAGGCATTTAATTATTTTCACAAAAAATAATATTAAAAGTAATAATTCTAATTTTTGTCTCTAAAATTGTGTGAAATTTAAACTATGAAATGATTGAATTATCTACATAATACCAAATTTTCATCAAAATCTAATAATATTACAGAATGTCCTAAAACTTGTCAAGTTAACAAATAGTTTTATAAAAATACCTTATGATATGTATCTTTTTGCCATGTTTTGACTTGTTGGATAATATCATTACATAAATTCTCTTTGACTCTCAAATGGAGATCACATAACCGATCTGCTTCAACTAATGATCCTTTCCATGCTGCTTCAGTAGTACCATACTCTGGACCTTTTTCTATTTTTTCATTCCATGATTTTGACCACGCTTTCAATGCTTTAGCATAATTTTTTTCAATTTCCGATCGCTCTTGAACTAGAGCAATCAAATTATCACACAATTTATGGCCGTCTTCAATCCTTTTGGTCGTTCGTTTGTAGTTGCCTGGTTCCCAAAATGAATCTGACGTTGCTATCAGCATGTTGTCTTCACTGTGATGTGACATCTTAATCCTAAAATGAGAACCACCTTTCTCCTGTAATGATAGAAAATAAATAAATGTCAATAAGTCATGTTCATACGATTCTGTTTAATGTATAAATAGTATCAAGTTTTAATTATATTTTATTGTCAGATAACTCAATTAGATTCAGCATTATTGGCTTATTACATTACACTAAGACAACGTATTGATTGGCCTCATTCCGTCCATGCCACTCGCAAATTCAATTCCTTCAACAATTTAATTAAATAAGTTAACGATTTCTTAAATTTTTTGATTGATATTCATTAATATTAGATTTAAAGTTAGGCTTTACTAACCTCAAATCACCTCAAATTTTTTTCATCAAACTGTGCATTTTTTATTAGTTTTTCTCATGTGAAAAATATTTAGGAATATTTAGAAAAGTGGCATACACATTGGAAAAGAAAGATGTTTCGTACTAGTGTAATAATAAACGTGGAATGAATAATTTTTTAGTGAAGGGCTAATGACAAGTGCATCCGCCATAACACCTCGAAATTCACTGAAAAGTTTTTTATTTTACCATTATTATTACACTTATACTATCAATCTTCGTTTTCCAATGTGTATACCACTTTTCTACATATTCCTGAATATTTTTTACGTGAAAAAACCAAATAAAAAATGCACAGTTTAACGAGAAAAATTTGAAGTGATTTGAGGTTAGTAAAGCCCAGCTTTAAGGTAGTACTAGCACATAGAAGCGGATTTTATGGAGGCTTGGAGGGGGCCCTATTGAATTTATATAAAACGAATGATAATTTATTGAATTATTGATTAAAGTATTTACTGGATAAATTACAAAAATTTTTTGTTAATTATTACTATAAATTTGATAATTAATTTTAAAGGTGACTTTCATATTGGCCATATTGTAAACGTGAAATGCATGATTTTATAGTTTTCAATTAATAATTTCTTCATTAAATATTCAACAGCTGCAATTTTTTTTGTGAAATATCTATTCGAAAACGTTCCCGAATTAATGATCTCGTTTTTCGTAAATATTTGCAGTACGGAAGATTGGAAAATTGAACGATAAAGTCGAAAGTACTATCTCTCTCTTTCTCACTCTCATTTACGTCAATGTCTGAAATTGTATTTTTAAATACGATTTTTTCATCAAAATGCCCCATGACTGAGCTTTTTTTTGCTTGTAACTTGTTCGTGACAATCTTAAGAACATCATATTTCAACATTAAATTTATTTGCAGACTTTAGCCAAGTGCTAGAACTACCTTAAGTACAAAATGAATGGAAAATTGATTTTTTGACATTTTTTTATCTTTATCATCAAACTTTTCCTATTATTTTCTACTGTTTATGACACATAATTGATTGATATAATTAAATAAATTTTCATCTCTCATCAAATCTTCATCTGTGCTTGAATCAATGTATGCCACAATCCAGAGAGCTATAACTCCTTCAAAATTGTTCTATCAATTGACAAAGCTAGATATCATGATGGTTAATTCATAGATCAACAAAGCCATTCCAAGTACTGTTCTATCAAGGTAAATATATTTAAATAAAAAGATTTTTCTTACAATATTATGCCTATTAATGCTTCCTAAGGAAGTAAGCATAAAAGAAAGCCTATATACAAAATTTATTCTTTATCTCCAACTCCATCAACAACCCAAATGACCTATTTAGCTTTAATACCACTTGTATTCTTTTCTACATGTAAAACTACTCAAAAGCTATTTCAGGGTCATAGAGTAGCTTTGAAAGGCAGGATGCATTTAATGTGAATGACGCGGAAAGCTCCACTGAATGTGACAATTAGGGCAGCTTGGATATTAGTAACCTTGACTACTTCCTCTTAATTCCTTCATGAGCCTCTTAACATTTACATTTTCACGGCTACATGATGAACATTATCAACTATCATCATTCCATTCATTTCACATTTTATCTCTTCAATCATTTATTTATTTATTTATTATCCAAAATTTTATCATCATTTACTGGTTCACCGATGAATTCACTAATTCATGTCAATAATCTTGTTTTTCATGTCCAGTTTTACCAATTATTGATGAAAATAATGAAGAATTCAGACTTGACGGAGAATAAGAGGTCAACTTTCTTGAATATTTTGTGTTTTAAGTGAGCTAATATGCTTTTAGTTGAAGTAAATAATGAAGACAAATAGATTATTATTATTTTTAAATGATGATGAAATAATGTTGTCTATTTTGCTGATTATTGTTATTACAGATAAGAGAGAGAGAGAGAAAAAAAAATATTATTACAAATAAATTTAAATCCAAAGCTATTTTATGAGCCGTGCAAATGGCATTCGTTCTCCTTTACTCCTTTTACTACCTCTGTCTCTCCCCATATAACTTCTTCAGGGCACATTGACCCAAGCTAACGTAGCAGTTCAGCCGGAAGTACTGTCTCGAGAGTCTTCCCGCCAACAAAACCAACTAATTTTATGTTTTAATTGTTAACATGAACAAGTACTACTCTTTAAAACAATCAATAGATAAATTTTATGATTCATAAACTTTTCTTGGTCAAGATGATCATTTTGATGGATACCTCAAGCTATTGTTGAAAAGAAAAACGAGTTAACTGTAATCTAGATATTTAAATTAACGAGAATTTGATCACTCTGTTAGAGAAGATCCTCTCCCCTTGTATGAGCTCTACTCGTCATGTCCATGAGTCCATAACGAATCTTAGCTTGGATAATTAACGTTAATTATGTGCACGTAACACAACCTAGGGTTACTGGCAAGCATCACATTAAAACAAAAACACTATTGAATATGGTATTATGATCGTGTTATATTTATTACTTAATGAGTTTTATTTATTTTAATTCACTTTTATTATACGTTGGAAAATATCCTTTTCTGGTCAATCATTATTGTTATTGATTTATTTACTGAATTCCAGAGAAAAGATCGTAATTAGTTTTTGTTCCTTGCCAATAATAATGTAGGTAATAAACCCAACTAGAAGAAGCTGTTGAAAAGACATCTTTTGGATGTAGATAAAAAGATGTCTGAATGAATGAATGAATATATATTTATTAGCAAACATATGCAACAATATGACTTTCAATTTACGTATAATCATTATAAATTCAAACTTTAGTTTAATTCTAAGTATAAACTTCCCAGTTTACGATAAACAATTATAATTCTTTGTTCTCTATTGCTGTTAATTAGCAACCACTCTATGATCTCTAATTGTACTATCAAGTTTATTGTATAACAGAAATACTATCTCATAACCTTATAGTTGTCTTATTGACATCCAAAAAAATGTCTATTTCTGTGTAAAACTTTTTTCAAATGATGTCTGAAATAATTACCAAAAGAAAGCTAGAAAATACTCTAGACATGTTTTAGACATCATTTAATTTATCTAAAAATTAATCTCCATCGATATCTTTTTAATGAATTTTTGAAAAACTAATTGTTATTTTCAAAAAAAAAACATCATATAGGCATAAAAAAGTTTTTTTTTCGACTTGGGATAGGATAAATTTTATGTGAAATCGATTTATAGGGAATTTAGTGAAGTTGGTATTAGTTTTTAAGGAAATGTCAAGGCTGAGCTTTATTTCAGTTTCCCCCTAGAAAATCCCAAAGAGTCGGGAAATAACTAATTTATCAGCCAATTTGTAACTATATCCACTGATTTTAGTATCAAAATAAAGCCTACTTCATATAGAATGCCGCTGGTAAAAATTTTATTTTCTTAATTTATATTTTAATTAAATTTAATTAGGAAAAAAATTGTCATCGAATTATTATTAGATTTTTCATGCTTCATGGCCGTCAAGAGAAAATAATTCATTATTTTTTTTTTACAAATTTTTCGCTGGAAAAAATTATCTGCCGACATCCTTGCCACCTTCTATATTATAAATAAAATCATTTTACATAATAAAACGCAGTAATTAGGATGTATTTCGTCATATCATTTTTCAGGTGCTTTCTGCTACAGCTAATAGGGCAAAAATTTTAAGTAAAGCCCAGCTTTAATAATATATTCAAATCCTAATTATTTTCGTCTCTAGAATTTTTAAACTTGTATTTTGCTCCACATATTTTTCATCACACTAAAATAAGGTTGATTTTGAATGAATTCGTTGTCAATATTACAAGTTTATCGGGAATTAAGTGTACTTAGTATCAGTACCGAGAAAATTTTTTTTAATTCATCCAAAAATTAAAACTCACATTTGGAGATGAGCTTTTTGAATTTAAAGCATTCCAATTTCGTTATTACATTTTTAAGATATGATGCCACATAATATGTATGTGTGTGTGTGGGTGAGTGACAATTTTTTCGAGACGATAACTTACGAACTAAGGTAAAGTGTCCTATTGCCGACCTAGTGCCTAAAGCCGACCATTCAATTTATTCGTAAATATTTAATTAAAAATAATAAAAAACGTACATTAATTATATAATTATCATTTCTTGCCCTAAAAATCCTGATAATTATTTTTTTTATATTTAAAAAAAAATACTCAAATTGTTAAAAGCCAATTTCTACAGATTCAATCGTCGAAATTCTTAGAATGGACCTTTAAAAGAAAATGTAATAATTTTATATATAATTTATTAATACTTGATGCTATGAATATTTTGGGTTCATTTACTATTAAGTCACTGAGGAAGAATTTACAATTCGAAACTAATAATTTGTTCAGTTGAAAATTAGTAAAATATTGTGGTCGGAAATAGGCATCATTAAAATCATGATTTTTCCTTATAACGACCAATTATAATAGAAATAATCGTTTCGTTCTTACGGTATTAGAAGTGAAATTACATCAATATTATTTGAAAAAAAAATTCATCGAAATTAGCACAACCATTTTCATAATGTCGTCAAAAAATTGAATAAAAAGTTTTTTTTCAAAATTCCTTAGACATCATTATCATAGAATGTGATTGATGATAATTGATGTGAATGATTTAAAATGATAATTTGTTAATAATAATTAATAATTATTATCTAAATTGATGAAAAA